GCACTGACAAATCTGTGTAAAATCTACAAGGTGTATTTTTAAAATAAGAGAAACTCAAACATCAAAGAAAAAGATGCACAGTTTTCTTTACATCTAAGTTCCCTCTTTGTATGAACCCTCAACTTGAGCTGCAAATTAAATATTAAAGATCAGCATTAAAAGTTCATGTTCTCCAGTTTAAACTATAATGAGCTACAAACACGACGCTGCAAGAAGACATCTATCTGTGTTGAAGCTCTCCTTAGGTCCAAACAGGACATATCTTCTGGAAGAGGAACAGGCTGAGTGCAGCAGAAGTGAGTTTTGTGTCGGTTGTTTGTGTCACACAGGAGGAAAACTCTGGAGAAATCGGCGATAAAAGCAATAGCATCGAACATATGCAAGTGGGAGAGTTGGCAGGTGTATAACTACAACCAGGACTAGAACAACATTTATATGTTTCTATGTTTTAGATGAAACTGGTGAGGTTCACACGTGTGATGCAGATGGCTGCTACAACAGGGATCTATAAATTATCTCCCAGACATAGAACAATGTCTGAATTAGTTTAATGAGCAGCAATAAGGAAAATGTATTGTTTCCATTTCTGTGTCACTCAAGCAGAAAGAGACAGATTCCATCATGAGGCTCATCTACACTCTGAAGTGTTCAGCGCTGTGGTGAAGCTACGTTTCTCTGATACGATGCCATGTCCTCCCAGTCTCTTTGGCAATTTAAATCCCTCCTCACACTGGGTCCTGCTTTGAGAAGAATAATTAGATTACTGGTGTAAAACGGCAGTTATTGACTTCAGAATGTGTGTACTGGTTCTGAAAATGAAGAAAAGCCCGTGTCAGTGAGCAGAGAGTTAAATCCTCTTTAAGGCACTTGGGAAGGCGTCCAGCTCTGCACTGGACCGAGGCTCCAGCCTGTTTAATTAGAGTCAGATCCCCACTGGAATATTTAGGCTGATGGACCTGCAGCTCGGCCCACTTCATCTTGGCTCCAGACCTGCTCATGCAGACAGACGGGCAGGAGGAGCCCTGAGGTGGAACAAATACAGACAACCTGAAACAAATGGCTGCAGCCTGGCTCCTTCTCTCCCAGCGCAGTGAGACGAACCCACAGTTCGGGTCATGTCCTCGGCGTGGAGGTCGATGTGGATGTTTTAATAATGCGTTGTGTTGCTTTGATGGTTATAATTCATCTGATGTTGATATGGTGGTAAAAATGAGGCACTGATTTCTATTTTTATCAATACAAGGCAGCATTTGCATATCAATACAACTTTGCCCCTTTGATTTATCACTAAAGGCTCATTGATCTGCACACTCTGGATGTTTTTGGTTTTTTCACCAAAAAATTTCTTTGAGCTCCTGCGGTTTAAACCTCCCACCAGCTCACTGGTTGTGAAACGAAACGCCAGGGGAAGGGGTGTTATGATTCAGCCATCCTGATTGGATCATCTGCAGATGAGAGTATTGACTGTAGGGAGCATGGCACTTTATCAGTTTAGAGAGCATTAAATATTTAAGAGCCAACTAGAACCCTTTTGTTTTCAGGTTGTCTTTTTTCAACGCAGTTTGAAGAGCCTTTTGTTTTTCTTTTTAAAAAGATCAAGTTTACAGAGAAACTTTTTTTTACTTAATCTTTTTGAATTATGATCGGTCGTTCAGATTTTCACATGCAGGCTGAACATAAAAATAGTCATCTACCCCTATTTTCTACATTAGTCCCAATTAGCCTTTCGCAAAGCCCCGCCCCTCTTAGTTACTGTTGCTAAGTCCGACAAACACCTGGTCAAAAATTCATCATCTCCACAGACTGCCACAATGGAAAGAAGTAGACAGATGTGTGTCAGTGACATATTTTGGAGCAATTCCTCCGCAATATCATCCAGATAGAGACAAAAGGGATTACAGTAGCCTATGCAGTGAAGGGATATATTCAAAATATAAAAATACACAACAAAGGAGACACGACTACTATCAAGGCTAATGCTTACCGGTCACAAGCTAATGTGTGTGTGTGTGTGTGTGTGTGTGTGTGTGTGTGTGTGTGTGTGTGTGTGTGTGTGTGTGTGTGTGTGTGTGTGTGTGCGCACACGTTTTGTACATGAGCATCATTACCTTTTAACTTATTTACAGTAACATATAACATATAGTGTGTGAATGGGTGAATGACTGTGTTGTAAAGCACCTTGGGGGGTCTGAGGACTCTAGAAGGCGCTATATCAAATACAGGCCATTTACCATATAAATATAACATGTTTACATGCTTATCAACATTCATATTTATCTATTTGCATTTCTTTTTTTAGGAATCTTTTGACAGCCTCCAAGCTTCTCCTTAGCTGGGTCAGGACCTAGCATAGCATTAATGGGATTGGGCAACTCAGGGGTAGGTTTTCCGTTGACAAAATGCTACACGAAAGATAAAAACTAAATTAGTTATTGTTGCTTGTTGGGACGCTGTGTACAACTTTGCTTTAAACTGACAAAAAATAAAGTTGTGGAGCTTAGAGTCCGAACTCACAACAGCTAATGCAGCTAGTGTTAGCTAACATGTTAACTAATGTGTAAAGCTAAAGGGCTCGTTAAACTTTACTTAGACAGTAGGTTAGCATTCTGGCAATGACTCCATGGTAATCATTGGGGCATTTTGTTCTCTTGCGTCTAGATAGTAGATATAGACAACACGGTAGCTAGCCATTACTCTTATCTGACAAACAAATGAATGACATACTCAAAAACCTCAGCTGAAAGACATTGTTTTACCTTTGCCAATTGCCGTAAATGATAGAAACCTGACTGCACTCACCTGTCAATTCAATCTTAAAGAACTGCTGAGATGGACTCCAAGGTTTTTTACATAGGATCTTACAAAGGATGAGCAAGGAGGTCCAAAGTGACAGACAACACCATTTAGAACTTCCTGATTGCCAAAAATTAAGATCTCTGTTTTTGACTCATTTTGTTGCATAAAGTTGATGGACATCCATTGTTTAACATCATTCAAGCGATCGACTAATTAACCTATTGAGTTAGGAACAGGATGCAAATAAAGTTGAAGGTTGTCTGCAAAACAGTGGAAAGTGATTTTGTTTTAAAAAATAGAAACTAATGGCAGCTAATATAATGAAAAAAGCATAAGCCCCAGAAAGGAGCCCTGTGGCATACCACTAGTCAAAAGTGCTGATTTAGAGGTTAACAAGCCCAAATGTACAGCAGACATGAGTTAAACCACTGAAGAACAGTGCCCTAAAGACCAAAACAAAGCTCCAGACAGGAAAGAAAAATGTTGTGGTCTATGGGTATATGGTAATTTAAAGCAGGAAATGTTAAAAACACAGTCAGAAAGTAGTTATTATGTGCTGTAAAATGTTATTTCTGACTTGAAAAATTTCTGCCCATTTTGTAAACATGTGGCATGATTTTCATTGTTACAGTAACGTTTTAATGGAAGCGGACTTGAGTTGTTTGCATTTGATTTCTGTCCCTGATTGAGCGCTATACCAGGAGATTTTCTGTTTATATTAATCCTCTCAGTAACCGGGTAGGTTTTAACGTTACAAATCTGCAACGCCTGCCTCCAGAGGGTTAAAACAATGTTTATTTTAAAAATGCTGTTGTTTAAATAAGTGATATGTTATAAATCTAACGTGCATAATGTAGAGTGGAGTCAGCAGTTATTGACTCAAAAATGCTTCTGATTCGTCCATTAAATGTTTATTATTTGGGCAAAAGTTACAGAAACCTGCCGAATTCTGCTGCACTAATTTAAAAGTACTTTTCTTACATTAGCATTTCTTTCTCTTGGTATCCATTTGTTTCTACCTCCTTGTCCAGTTGACATGCTACTGAGTGTGAAGCTATTATTTTACTTTTGTGTGTGTTTGAAAGTATTTTAGCCAGTCTCACCGGGCGCTGCGGCTTCATAAAGCGCTTTGCAACATTCGGGTCAGTGCAGCTGCCCTCTCACATGGATAAGGAGCAAATGAAAAGCTTTTCAAGAGAATTTGGAAAACAATAAGTTGACAAGGTTCCAAGAATCTCTGCTTGTGAAGAAAATGTATGATGTGGGGACTACAAAGCTGAAGTGTGAGTGCAGAACGCTAGGGCACAATGAAATCCGATTGCATATGCAAGGAGGTGTAATTGAATTTATTGTTAAATTTGCTCTAAGCTATAAACCTGTCACAGGCCCCAGCCTTGAAGCATCAAGGACGTTCCCCCTCCAGAGACGGTGATGGGACTCTAAAGCTGAAGACAATAGAGTTTATAGGTGAGAAAGAAGACAAGCTGCCTGCAGGATGGAGACACCGAGGAAGAAAGTGGACATTTAGAGAATTACTCGTTTCTAAACTAAATCCGGAATGGCTGTTCTTGTTTCAGTCAAATGTTTCCCGTGCATTATTAATATCACCATGGACATGTAATGTTTAGCAGTGCAGTAAACTTATCAAAAGTGTGGAGGAGTGGAGGAAGTAGAAAGAAAGGCTCACCACCCCCACAGAGTCTTATTAAAGCTCTGATGGAGAGAACAAGCATTTAGTTTAAAGAGATCAGCCAGCTCTCTGAACGCTCAGCCTCCGACAGGTGCTGGAGATCGTTTTGGGTTTGATTAAACCTAATGTGCGACTGAGACAGGCGGAGAACGGAGAGGCAGGCTGCACAGCACAGTCTGCTGCAGAACCCTAGGTCTGCCAGAACCATGACCTATTTTACATGTTGAACTTAATGAAAAGGAACAAGCACTGTCACCGCAGTTCCCCCCACCCACCCCTACCCCCCACTGCATGTGCCTTTTTCAAAACACACACAAATGTAATAATATGCTCCCAACCCATCCCCTGCCCTGGTGAACGTTACGTTCTGAAATGTTTTCCTGGCTTGTTTTTCCAGCCAACTCTTTGTGAACTTGAGGGTATTTGTCATTTCTGAATCCCTGCCCTCTAAATGTTCTCAGAGCTGAGAGATTGTGAACGTGACTCATTGTTTGCTGTCTTCTGCCCACTAAAGGTGGTGACCTCAGGGAAAAACAGCAGAGGATACCACTACATCCTGGCCAACCTGGTGAGAACTAGCAACAACACAACACATGAAGAAAACACACTCAGCTGCAGCATTTGGTGTGATGCAATGCCCTAAAAAGAGATGTAATACTCTCAGTAGATATTACTCAGTAGCTGGGACAAGGACGGCCATGATGCATGAGTTAATGCAGTTTGAAATAAAAAGTTCTACAACAATTTGTGCCTTATTCTAAGGGTTTCTCCAACCTGAGCCTGGACAGGGTCTTCTCTGGTGGGGCCAACATCACAGGCTTCCAGATCATCAACCCAGACAGCAACATCGTTCAACAGTTCCTCCAGCGCTGGGAGCGCTTGGATGAAAGAGAGTTTCCAGAAGCCAAAAACACTCCACTAAAGGTTAGTGAAGCATTGCTGCTGACGCTCAGACCAGAACGTGTGTCAGCTTGAATCAGTCACTGAAAATGGACAACATTACCTGATTCTCCCTGAACAGAGGCATGACCACACAGTGATGCTGCTGAGATGTTGTGTTGGAACATAACATTTTCTTTTTCATTTTGGGGTATTTCGTTGTCTCAGTACACCTCAGCGCTTACCCATGATTCCATTCTCGTGATTGCGGAGGCTTTCCGGTACCTTCGGCGCCAACGGGTAGATGTGTCTCGCAGAGGGAGTGCTGGCGACTGCCTCGCTAACCCCGCAGTGCCCTGGAGCCAAGGCATTGACATAGAGAGAGCGCTCAAAATGGTACGAATAAGGACCCAGCTTTCTTCTTCTGTGGTTTTATTAAATCAGTAGTTGCAGTCCTTCAATTAGGCATCAGCTGATCTGGTAAATCTACTGTTTTTACACAATCTTATTGTCTACAGTGACCAGATTAGTCTAAAACCAGCTCTCACAACCACCCCTCAGTAAATTATTGTTTTTGAAGAACCTACTTTAACGTAAAACAGGCATAGCAATAGAGAGCATTTGTTTTATACTCAGAACAAATGGTGTACTTTGTTTTTCTTGGTGTGTGACAGGTCCAGGTACAAGGTATGACAGGAAACATCCAGTTTGACACATTTGGGCGACGGTCTAATTACTCCATCGACGTGTACGAGATGAAACCCAAGGGACCAAGGAAGGTAAGAGGGTTCATGGTCCTGAAAACATGTGTTCTAATTTAATTAGTATTTATTTAGACAGAACTAGATGTTATCAGTTTCAGTGCTGTGTGGATTGAGTCCAGTCAGAGGCATGGCACAGCGCACAGATATGTGTTCTGGTTTCTCCTCACACATTGGCAGAAGTGGCGCTGATTTTAGCCCAGTTTTACAGATTTTCAACCTAAAATATCTGAGCTTTTGTTCTAAGGCTTCAATTTGGGAATCAGATTTCAAGAATCAGCTAAAGTGAAGCAATTTGAACTGAACAGATCAACAAAACTTTAAAGGATAACACACTCAGGCCAAAGAATGTCATACACCATAGTTTTGTTGGATTTGATCTGGCAGCTTCACCTTTCTTCAAAGATATTTTTCCTGTGAGTACAGACTGCAAGTGTGGCCTAATGATCATTTGGACTTTTGTGGGAGCTGGAAAATCACCACAGAGATGCTATGGAATTAAACCCACTGAATGGTTCTAATAGATCCTCTCTGGCTAATCCATGTGTCATCATCTGTATTTGCAGCTGAAACATTAACATGCAACTTAATATAAGTTTTTGCTTCAACGTTGAGATTTTCTCCCAACATTTCATGTTTCCATTTGAGGAAAAGTCCTTGTGATGAATAGAAATGTATATTTTTCTTTGCAGCAGTGTAGCCAGTGGTGACATTTGATTTCAAACTGCAGATGAGACAGACAGAAAAGAGCTACGAGCTGGGAGACTCAGCTCACATTAACATTCAGCTAAAGTTTCTTCGTTTTGCCCACAAGCTCAGACACATGTCCTGTGCCTGGGATCGCTAAAAGAGCTAACAAACAAACGTCTTCTGGGATGGGGTGCAGTCATCCAGAAAAGACATCATCTTGTTAACTTGTCAGCTACAGCACTCATCAGTGTTTGTTAGTTTAGATGCTGGACACCTTCTTCAATAGAGACCGCTTAGCTCGTAAGCTAGTGAGCAAGAAATCCTCCTTGCAAACGGTGGCAGTTTTAAACATGCATTAACCCTCCCACTGTCTTTATGGGTGACCCCATGAGGAAAGTTGGCCATTGAGCAGGATTGATGGTTTATCCCTTGAGGTCCACGTGGCAGGGGTGAGGTGGTGTTCACTCCTCACCCCTGCCACATGGAGCTAAGGGATAAACCATCAACCCTGCTCAATGGTCAACTTTCCTCGTGGGGTCACACCCATTAGGACAGTGGGAGGGTTAAGAAAACATTTGACAGTGAAATAATCACCAAACACTTTAATGTTGGACGGAAGGTTACAAAGGCCAAAGAAGGACTTACTCTTTGTTTACAGCCTGTCCCACCTCCATACGTCCTGATTGAAGAAACAATCATATGTGAGCCCGCAAGGTTGCCAAGTCTGCGACGGCATTTGTAATTTGACACCGGCTGGCAAACGGCACCAGCTTTGAGAAGAACGTTCACCAGTAAAAGGAGCGGACAAGAAGTTATTTTTTGTACCCCTAAGAAACCACCGCATCTTTTTGTTTTACTCTAATGCCGGGGAAAGAAGGCTAGAAGCTAACATTGAGCTAACAATGCTAACTGTGAATTAGAGGCAAATAGCCAGTTCTAAAAATGTCTCAAGGTACTTTTTTCAATAAATAACAACTTGACATTACAGTAAAATGTATTTATCCACTTACCAGCGTACTGTGTATGACTCGTCTTCACTCGTCATCTAGGATCTTCTGGCGCTGATTCATAACTGGCAGCGATAGCTCAGAGCAAACTTGTTTGTTTTGATACATGGAGTGCAGTACCCAGAGTTAACCACAGGATGTCAGTTTTACTTCATGCACATTTGAGGGTTTTTTTTTTCCAAAGAACTTGAACATCTGCAGTTGTTTGGGTTTCTGTAACTGGGCAGGGCCAAAGTAAAAAGTCTCCAGTGTGGAACCACACACACACACACACACACACACACACACACACACACACACACACACACACACACACACACACACACACACACACATTCACATGTGATGCCATGTTTCCAACACTGTGGTTCCATGACCCTGAAGTGAAGTGAAGTGAAGGGCCCCCATAATGTCCACATAGCTCAGCTCACAGGACACCATACACCAGTCATCCCTGTGTCCGGTCTCAGTGTGAGACAATCTGCAGAGACAACAGAATGAGTACGGTGTGCTGTTGAACAGAGATGGTTCTTCTTCATCTTGGCTGCAAACATGAGAAACGAGTAAACAAACTGGAATCATCTCTGGGTAAGCAGACTCAGGGCGGTATTTCTTTGCTTTAACACCAAGTTGTTGTTTTTGTGTGCTATTATTAGAGCAAGAGGCTGACTGATGAGAGACACTTTTAGACTTTTAGGTTTGCTATTAATTGTATTCATGTTTTAGTGCTTCAGTGGTGTTGCTTTCTGGTTATGTAAGAGAACATTCGCTGAGCCAGGAATAGATTACTCCCACTCTGCTGAAGTGTGGCCCAGGTGAAGAGAGAAGCACCACTACACACTTTTTATTAAACTGTAAATCAGCCACAAACAAACAGTCTTCCACAGATGGAGCTGACCAACTCGCACACACTTGGAGGCTCCTCTGTTGAATGTCCCATTGCTTCCTGTAATAACCAAGATCCTCTGTGTCATTTTTTCAGATCGGCTACTGGAACGAGTTCGAAAAATTTGTATATATAATGGACCAGCAGGTCACCAACGAGTCCTCTTCTGTGGAAAACCGAACAATTGTGGTCACTACTATTATGGTACTCACTCTCAAGCAGGTTCTAAGTGTTTCACCTTAAGATTTCTGCCATTCAAGGTCAAGGTGTCCATTGTTGCAATCTGTCCTGGGAGGGTAGAATTATTTTATTTTAAGTTGCTTTCCATCCACTCACTACATGTTGAAACAGTCGATTCACAAGTGAGTGTTTCAACTGTATCCGTGTGGGTGCCAAAGCATTTTGGTTTTTTTATATTACAGTGGGCTGTTGTAGTAGTGACGTCACAATAACGGCTTTGGTAAAGATAACTGTAGGGATAGACACCATGGTATTCACATTCAGTGCATACGTAAGTAAAAGCCCTTCCCTCTCATGAAGCAATCTGTCAGCGACACCTGTTACAGATGAATTCATTTGCTTATAAGAACCATGACTTTCTGATCTGAGGAGTCCCTAAACCCAGGGCTCAGAGTTAGGGCTAGGTTAGAAACCATCAGCCATTCTTAGATGTATGATAAGGTGCTCCTTATCTTACATTTAAGATCATGGCTTCCCTTTTCCTTCTGACTTTGCCTATTGTGTCCTCATCTTAGGTAAATTCAGAATGTGATAGTCACACATTCCCATTTAAGTGTCTGGAAACTCATCGTCATCTCAGAGTGGAAATGCTGATCAGAGTGAGGGGAGAGGAAGCAGGAAGCTTGTGTTGTTGCGTTATTTTTTGTGAGTCTTGCCTTTTAATTTAAGTAGTCAGTTATTATTTAAGGTACATAAAAGTCAATTCATTATCCTCTTGTTGAAAATACCATCTTTAATGTTTCATTTTGTCTCACGGGACTGCAGAGTAGAGAAGAACATGAGGATGAGGAGGTCAAAGAAGATGATATTCGAATAACCTCTGAAAAACATGTTCATGCCATACGACCAAGTGTAGCACGCTTGATTAACATCTCAAGGTGACATTGATTCATCTTCTGTGGCTAACATGTTTTACAGTTTGGAGGAGAACTACGACACAGAGGTGACGTGTGTTGATCCAACCATCTAATCCAGGAAAAAACTGATTATTTTCACTTATTATGTATAAAACAGCAAACTCCAGTAAGCGTTAAGTTTTATTTCATCACCCAGCTGCTCCTCTGATGTAGTCCCCAACATAATATTCAATATCTGAGAAAAGCGTTCTATGTGTTTGATGGCTCGAATCCTCTCTGGTGTCACTGACGTTTACTTTATGAACTGGAAAAGTGCTCCATTCAGCTTGTCCTGCCTCCTGCGCTGAGCTGATGCAAAGTACAAGCAACCCCCTTCCTATTAACCAATTTCATAGACTTGAATTTTGGACAAAGATAGCATGAGGGAGCCCAGCAACCTACTTCCTTTATATATGTCAGATGCTTTGCTCCTGCAGCTTGCTCATTCGTCCGTCAAGTCCCCCTCTGCAACACGTCTGAGTAATCTGTGCACTGCTTGTCTTTTCATGTTCCCCATATCTGTTTGTTTATTTTTTTATTGCCTGCATGTGTGCATGCTACCATTTCCAATTAAGACCTTGTTTTCCCCACGAGGTCTGGCCACTGTGGATGTGCTTGTTCTTTGCTGTGAACTCAAAAACTGTGTCTAATTAACAGGAAGCTCCGTATGTGATGTACAAGAAAAACTTTATGCAGCTGGATGGCAATGACAGATATGAAGGCTACTGTGTCGATTTAGCTTCTGAAATTGCTAAACATGTGGGGATAAAATATAAGCTGTCAATAGTGCCGGATGGAAAATACGGAGCCAGAGATCCAGAGACTAAGACGTGGAACGGGATGGTGGGTGAACTGGTTTATGGGGTAAGTGTCCGTCTGTCTGCACAACTCTTAGGCTCTTGATCCTTTCTAATTAGCATATATCTTAAAAATGATCTTATAATTGATCACGTCTGATCAAAATCAAGCCAAAGCTACAGTAATTGATGACTATTCCATATAAAAAATCCAATTTAGTCTTGGGAAGTCTTCAGAAACTCAATGCCCGGTGTTGTTGTGTCTTTTAAGTGTTTTTATTAAAGATAATCTGTTATCAAACTTCATTTTCTAAAATAAACTTTCCTCAGAAGGAGATAGCTTTCCATTGCTCTGGTTGAAACCAACCAGTCAACAATACTTTGACTTAATTGGCTCTTTAATGAGGTCTCAGTGTGAACTGTATTTGTCATTTTAACAGATATTGAAAAAATCGGTTACTAAAGGTAAAAAAACAAAATCCACCATGGCTTTGTTTGTCCTCCTAAACAGACAAAAATGGAAATGAACACTCTGAAAACCTGACAGAAATATTTGTTTCAGGTGGAAAAAATGAATGTAGACCAGGATAGAGACAGTTGAGGAAATGGTCATCTTGACTTAACACACCAGAATGTGTCTTCACAGAGAGCACAGTTAGTACTGGGCCTTCCTCTCACTGGTTTAACAAATGTCTAATGTTTAATGTTGCCTTCAGGGATCTGCTGGTTATTTTGAATTGGTATTAAGCTCTGAATAATTGCTATCTTACTCACTGAACATCACTTCATGAATGACCTCTCTGCATAATAAGTTTGTATTCCTCCAGACTGATAAGCTAACAGCTAGTCTGAGCCATAAGACATAGACACAGAAAGAAACTAAAATTTCCCATCAAAGCTGCATGGTAAAGCTTTCTTTCATGACTTTTTGTTTGGTTTAAAACAACAAGCAGGAGATTAGGCTTGGTATAAATGTGTAAAGCGTAGAATCTTTTCTGAGAAGCAGCAGAATGGATGGTGCACCAGCAGGAAAACAAGGTTTCACTTTCTTCTGGAAAGCAACTGCTTGCTCTGCCGTCAAATCCTCGAAACCAGAGATTTCTGACCGACTTTTCCATAACATTTAGTATGTAGAAAAAGATATTTCCAGCTGCTCTATAAACAGTCTTACTGTGACTCATTTGACCCCTGTTGTGTTGTGATGTGTTCACAGTCAAGATCTGTTTGCTTATTTCTCCAATTACTGCCATCTCGATGTTTTCCGACTAATAAAATGCACAAATGGCACTTAATAATAAATATCTCAGGATGTTTTTGCCACAAAGTGAGTTAGGAAAGGCTATTCAGCCACTGGACAGGAAGAAACCCACCTTTCATAGTTTTGCTGCATAATAAGCCCCTTGAGGGCTTTTGGCAATTTCTCCATAATACTTGTTAACATTTACTTAAAATAAATCAAAATCAAATCAATGATGGCGTTTTGGCAACAGGAGGTTTCCTCTGCTGGAAAGAAGCAAAAAAGATTTTAAAAACAACCATTTTTAAAACAATCCTGCTTTATCAGATCAGTGATTCCATCTGATGTCTGAAATGAGCTGTAGAAGTGCGGATCCTTAACCGTAAGATCTGCTTTGCAGGTTTAGTCATGCATCCCACGGATAACTAACAATTGATCTGGCTCTAAAGTTGATTTGCATCTTTCATGAGAGCTCGGCCGCCGAATGAGTAATGTTGCAAATCCAACTCAGAAGAATGAAACGTAAAAAGATTTGCATGCAGACTGTGTGTCACTGCAGAAATCATGATCTGGCACCTGTAATAACGACGACACCCGCTTGCATAGAGTAGGCAGTCTGAGGGGCCCTGATAAGACCTCTGTACCCTGATGTTCATCAGCTGCTCAGATGTAAACAGACACCGAACAGCTGATTGTCTTAGAGTTATGTAAATTGCTGCAAACATGGGTCATTGTGGTTTGTAATACTGACTTTAAGGCATTGCAGAGGTGAATGTTACAGGCTGATTCACAATTTATGAACTGCTTGCATAAGCTTTTCCACCTCTGTCTTCCAACCCTCGATTTGATTCATGAGGGAGATTTGGATTCAGACAAAGACATTAACCAACACAAATGCTGAGTGACTCACTTTCAAATGGCAGATTTGCTCCCACTGCCTTAATAACAGATCTGTTATTCAATATATGCATAAATGCTGCATTTCAGCAAGTCCGGTCTTTCTTTTTCGCCCCTTATGAGCGTTGTAGCGCTGAGTTGGTTTGATTTTGGATCAGATCAATGACTCATTTAAAAGATTAATGTTTAAATCTTTACCCGTACGACTAACTTTCTGTGTGCCTGTCTCTTCCAGAGAGCTGACATAGCCGTGGCTCCGTTAACCATAACGTTGGTGCGAGAAGAGGTGATAGACTTCTCTAAACCCTTCATGAGTTTGGGCATCTCGATTATGATCAAGAAGCCTCAGAAGTCCAAGCCGGGGGTGTTTTCCTTCCTGGACCCTCTGGCCTATGAGATTTGGATGTGTATAGTTTTTGCTTATATCGGCGTGAGCGTGGTGCTCTTCCTGGTGAGCCGTTTCAGCCCATATGAGTGGCACCTGGATGAGAATGACGAGGCCAAAGACCCTCAGGGACCCCCTGACCCTCCAAATGACTTTGGGATTTTTAATAGCCTGTGGTTCTCCCTGGGTGCCTTCATGCAGCAAGGATGCGATATCTCGCCAAGGTTGGTTGTTGTGTTCACTCCCCACCACCTCTCAGATGCCCCTTTTCATCTTTTTGCATTTTATAGTCCCATACATGCATTTCCACCCTGCAGTGGTGTATATGGGTTATTTTGAGCCTTGCTGTTACTGCTATCCACCTAACCTTCTGCTCTACTTCACTGCACGTCCCCTCTATCTCTATCTCTATCTGAGCAAGAAGCCTTCCTTTACTGTTCATCCGTTTGTTTGGGGGCTGCATGCTGACAGTGATGCTCTGCATCCACAAAATAACTTATATCCACCATGCTGAGGGCTGTAAAATGCACAGGGGTCATCACTTTTCATTCAGAGAAACAGCTTGACTTTCTTCATGATTCTTGGAGGGCTACCGTGTTTTTGCTGCATGTCCCATTTTACGGTCATCAACTTGGAGCTTGTAATGTATTTTGTGTGGGAAAAGCCATCATAACTTCATGTGCTGCATTTTCCAAAACAATGCTCGTCAAGCTCTCCCCTCCCACCTATTCATTTGTCTATCCATCTCTTCACTCACTACTGCCGTGATGGTGCTCTCTTCTTTCATCACTTTTTTTTTGTGGGCTGGGAACGATCATAAACAGCCTTATAAAAGTTTCCAAAATTCCTCACAGGGTTCACAAAGATGGACAGACTAAAGGTGTGATTGACTGAAAACCCATTTTAATGATTATTTCTGATTATAATGCAGGCTGCAGGCTGAATATGAAACCATCTCCTACACCTATCTCCTGCATTAGCTTCTGATAGAAAATAGATGGCGAAAGGCCAGGATTTGAAAATCCTCACACTGTGATGTCACACTGTAAATTTGCAGCCCATCTTGGCTGGCACCTGCCCATGGGAAGGCTGTTTTAAACAGTTTTTAAAGTGAGGTGAGAGAGTGGAGAGTATGTTGGTGATAGTGACTTTGCAACATGTCTGACTGCATTCTGTTAGCCAATCAGAAGCGAGGTGTGTGCATATCATTATTAATAATGAACAATCCTGCTGTTTTCAGTCCACCTCTGCACCAGCAAACATCTGCATCTCGGACCAGGAGCCTCATGGTTTCTTTTTTTAATTACTCATAAGGCATTTATTTACTCTCAAGAACACTGCAAATGTGCTAAATAAATGAGTAAACCACACCTTTAATAACTTTAATGACATAAAGCTGCTTCTTATTGTCTTTTCAGCACAAAAAAGAAATGAAAAGTGTTTTACTGCAACATTTTCTGTTTTTGAGTGATTGCTAAAATACAACCAGCACAAGCTTTATTGGCTGATTGATATTAAATCAACATTAAATAAATTTTCAGCTTATACCTCCTACTGGTTGAAAGTGGAATTGCAGCTTTCATGATAACCTTCCTGTAGCTAGCACAAACAACAAGCTAAGGCTAACATGAGCCAACTGACACTAAATAAACCACAAAGTAAGAAGATCCACATTGTTGGATGAAAAAATATTATTTACAAGTCCCATAGCAACAAAGCCAGGTCATCATCAGTCTGTGATTTTGTTGCCTCCTTTAGCTCCTCAAACTAACAGAGGTGGAAAGAGTACTAATATTTCCTACTAAAGTACAAGTACCAATACTTAGGTAATTTTTTTACTCAAGTACAAGTAAAAGTTTTTGCCAACATTTTAACTCAAGTAAAAGTAAAAATTATTGTAAATAAAATGTACTCAAAGTAAAAGTTACTTAGTAAAAATTTTGCCAGAGGAAGGGTGGTTACACCTAAGTAGTGCAAAATCACAACACTAGCTCACAACACGCTCCTGTGCATGCCCGCGTGTGCGCGCACACACATACATTTCTATTTATTTGCTTGTGTGGACCTCTACTGACTTCAGTTCATTTTAGAGACTCCACTATGCCTAACCCATACCCTAACCCTAATCATAACCAGTGGTGTTCTATTCCTAACCCTAACCTAAACTCTCCTAAACTAAAAGTTCATTCACACCATACCTCTAAAACCGAGTATTAGGGTGCTTAACATTGTGTGCACCGCAGCAAAATATCCCAGCAATGTGGAAATGTCCACGTTACAGGTTAAAAGTCAACAGTCGTCCCCTTCAACATGTAATGACAAGTACACACACACACACACACACACACACACACACACACACACTGCAGCATTTTAGAATAACTTTAATCACTAGTTTAAGTTGAGTAAGCATCAAGAAGCAACTTCTGAGTTCATACACACACAGGGATGGGGCACATAATGTTTACAACTGAATTAGCTCCAGTATTTAGTGTTGATTTGCACAAAAAAGGTGTTTAGACTCACACAGGCTGCAGGTTTCCTGTTCCATGAGCAGACCACGCTGGGAATCAGTTGGTAAGGAGCGCTAAACATTCTTTTGCCGCTGCTGTGGGAAGCAGTTGGGGAAACACATTTCAAACAAGGAACTGAGTCCGGCTACCGAACCGAGCAGAATACCGACATAACATCGGTGCACGAAGGTGCAGGTTTCAACCAGCAGGAGAGGGACAGAGAGGGGGTAAACAACGAGTGCATCATAGGGACGGACTGATGTTTTTGAGCAAAACTGTAGGAAAAGTGTGGCTGTTTAACGTCCTTATTATGAAAGTGTACACCCACACCCCCCATGGGTGAGACACGGCGATCATGCAGGGTTCTCTCTTTCTGTTCCGACGCTGCAAAGTGCCTATTTATTATTTTTACTCAGTAACGGATATGATTGAAAATGTATCGAAGTGCAATTCTTAAAAAAATAAACATAATCAAGTAAAAGTAAAAGTACAGACTTTAAAAATTACTTTAAAAGTATAAATACACAAAAAGTGAGTAAACGTAATTGGTTACTTTCCACCTCTGCAAACTAGTGTAGAGCGTGCCGATGTTCACATTTTAGCTCTTTGCTTCACCTCCAAAGACATGACTCTCTTAATTTTTAATGACAGCAAACTGAAAATGCTACCTGCTAGCCTTTACTAGCCACCAGCACAGTAAACAGCTATAGCCCTAAAGCAGGTAGAGACCTCCAGTGTTCCTAACCGAACCACAAAACTGTTTGGTGCAGTCCAGTGGGAAGTTGCTCAAGTTTCACTGAAGGACCTCAAGGACCACTGAAACTAGTTTGAATGCATTACCTTAAAGTACTGAAACTCTTTAGTGATGCTTTAAAACTGAGGTCTGCTGTATTTGCAGTTTTTTGTCTATAAAAGCAGTACTTGACTGAGTTCTGCAAAAAGGTATAGAACGCTGGCTCAGACTCCCAGACTTTCTGATTTGGACAGAAACATGCTGAGGTGTTCAAACTTACAGCCGTCTACGGACTGCTGGGTTTAAGGCGTCCACGCCTATCTGGAATGGTTTCTCACCTTAATTACTCCCAAAACTAAATTTGGACCTGGCTGCATTGAGATAATGAGGCTTGTTATTGCTTTTTACCCCCAAAAAATCCTCTGTGTAGGCAGCGATCCTGAGTTAATGTTACACTGATGTAATTAATGTGGAAGCACGGATCAGCAGAGACCAGATTTTATTGTTCAGCAGTTAATGAGTTATACATAAAAGGTGCAACAATAAAGTGTCAGATCTGAGCTAAACTTCCTGTGTGCCAAACACAGCAGACAATGAGTCTTCCCACCCCCACATTGTAGCTCTCATGTCTGCTCTTCTTCCTCCTCCTCCTCACAGGTCTCTGTCCGGCCGTATTGTCGGGGGAGTGTGGTGGTTTTTCACCCTCATCATCATCTCTTCCTACACGGCCAACCTGGCTGCCTTCCTCACCGTGGAGAGGATGGTCTCTCCGATCGAGAGCGCCGAGGATCTGGCCAAGCAGACGGAGATTGCCTATGGGACGCTGGACTCAGGCTCCACCAAGGACTTCTTTAGGGTGAGACTCAGCTGCACAACATGACCTCCTCAGACTTCATGTTGAGTTAATCTCTGGAGCTTTTATTTTGGGGTTTGATTTATTACCTGCCAGGTAATAAATAGAAACAATAATCCATAAAAAGCCTTCACTGTGTTTTTTCTCCTTGGTGCAGCACTACTGAAATACTGAAGCCAAACAAAGTTATACTGCAGCTGTTCCTGATTAATTCAGTTCATCAAAAAAGCGCTTTACTGTGGGGTTCTTTTTTTTCATAAAATTAAATTAAGTATTACCAAAAGAGCAAGCAGCTAAAATAAAATTACATTCATTTGTCTTGTTTGGTGATTTAAAAGATGCCACTGTGGGACAAAGCCATTTTTTTCTCTGAGTAGATCATCGGTGCTCTTGTCATTACCGCAAAACTAAATTATGAGACTGGATTTAGGAAACCTGCTATGCACACAGAATTCAACCTTTGCAAGAAGAATGATCCAACTCTGGGACCATTAATGTTCCTCATGAGCCCGTCAGTGAAGTGGTAAACCAAACTTTTATTGATGTCATTGCTTCATTTGGGCTCCTTTCTGCCTTGATTTCTTTAACGTGCTGCTGGAGCAACCTGATCTGCATACAAGAAGATATAGATAACTAGAAAAGGAAAAATTGGGTTTGCAGATCATTAAAATTCTAATTTGCTGCCACTGTTCTGCAAAAGTGCAGCCTCACAGATGACGTCCTCTTCCTTGGAAATAGAAATGACATTCACATCCAGCGTCCGGCTCAGAGCGCTTTTCTATTTTTAGCCCTATTTGTTCTCTTGGTGTGATTGCTCGGAGTGAGCCTGCGACATGTGATAAATACAAAAACCCCAGCTCTCCTTCAGACATGGCAGAGATCCGGAGGGCATTTTGTGTTGCTTCACAGTCTGCATCAGTCCACAGGGAGCAAGGAAAAATCACATCTCACCATCTCCTCTGAGATTCAAACGGCGTAAATACAGCAGCAGGTTTCTGTGTGTGAGGTCTGATCATCTGCTGCTGCAGCAAGATAATGAAAAACATGCATGCTTCAAACTCAGAAGAAAAAGAGAGACCACGTCTTTTATTAAATATTCTTGTTGGCGTCTCCTCTGAGAGGAAAGGATTTGGTTTGGAGCGTGACCGAGTATTTTTATGACTCAACCCATCTACAGAAGCATTCAAGCAGAATGGTTTAAAGAGCCAAACTTTGCTAAAATCTAAAACTCAGTCAAGTGAAACAATTTCTCTCTTCTGCACCGTGGTGCTTTAAAATGTGTGCTGATGTAAACGATCTGTTTATTACATGTAAACAGCGTACAATACTTAAACAGAAGTATATCAAATCAATAGAAAGAGGGGGAAGGGAGAGAGACAGAGAGAGAGAGAGAGTGAGGGAGAGACAGAGAGGGAGAGAGAATGGGTGAGAGAGAGTTAGACAGACAGAGAGACAGACAGAAAGAGAGACAGACAGTCAGAGAGCCAGACAGACAGAGAGAGAGAGAGAGAGAGACAGACAGACAGACAGAGAAAGAGACAGAGACAGACAGACAGACAGAGAGACAAAGAGACAGAGAGAGAGAGAGACAGAGAGAGACAGGCAGACAGACAGACAGAGAGAGAGAGAGAGAGAGAGAGAGAGAGAGAGAGAGAGATAACAGGTAAGTTATGACATTTATTAAACATATATTATTAACATAAACCCATTAATAAAATGATATATTGTACAACCATCGGTTTAAAAGAGTGAGTCTTTAAAAGCTTATTTCTTCTGCCTTTCAGAAAGAGGTGACTCAAAGGAAGATGTGATGGTTTTACTTTAATTAGTATTACTTTAATCAGTATTACTTTAAAGAGCAAGTCACCCCCAAATAAACTTTTTTTTGCTGATAAACTAAATAAACGAGTGTCTAATCGTGCTGCAGACACGTGTCGTCAGTAATTTGGCACTTCAGTGCATCTTAGTTAAAATTTAAATATTCTGCCTAAAACTGGCAGTGTTGTGCCGTTGTCAGGTAAAAACTCTGCACTGTATTTTAATTTAAATCTGCCACCGCTATTGGCTAAGAGGTATGCTATGATGTAAACTGGTACATTATGATGTCACAATGCTGTCGTGAGCCTGTGTGTGTGTGTATTTGTTAGCAGCTCCACCTTCTCGGTCTGCCAGGCAACAGCATTTGTTACATTTTTCAAACATAAAGTGAGAGTGGAGTTAGACTCTGGTAGGGGTTGACTTGCTCTTTAATCAATATTACTTTAATCAGTATTACTTTAATCAGTATTACTTTTGTAGCAGTTAAATATTTTCACAGTTTCTTGGTGATTCATCACATCAAAAGCAGCTCAGTCAGCCGTAGCTGAATTCCGTAAACATTCTGACTGAGGATGTATTTTGCAGGATGTGCTTTATTAAACGTCCTCCTGAGGAAATAATCAGCATGGCTTCTTCCTCCAGACTGGGAATTCAACATGAGCGTTTTTCACTACTTAGTGAGATCAAAACCAACAACGGCTGTAAATTCATAAACTTTCACAGTAATTATCAAAAAGGAGGTTTCTATGAATTTGGGTTTGACGGTCTCCTCGGGCTGCTTAATAAATGGAAATAAGATGCTCATTTTACACTTTTTTTTTGTTTTGTCATGATCTTTTGAGTGAATTAAAAACAGACTGTTTAGCTTTGAAACAAGTTTTGGAGTTCCATTTTAAACTAAAATGGATTTAAACTCTCCTCTTTAGAAAGAGGTGGAAGTCATCAACTTCATTTTAAACAAATTATGCTTTTTTTATTATTCCGTTTTCCACAGCAAATGTCTAAACTCGGTCACATGAATTTTAATACAAATATTACTGAACAGATTCAGGTACAGGTAACACAGTTGTGTTGTGGATGAGTCAGAAATACAGAAAATAAGCCAAGAAATGTGTTGCTTCAATTAAAAAACACAGAATCATTTGTAATATATTCAAAAGAGTAATTTACTCAGGTAAGGCTGTTAAAGGTCTTTTCCTGCATGGAGATCATAAAAAGTTAACATCTGTATTAGGTGACTCTGAACAGCAGCAGTTTAGAGAAATACAGACTAGTTCTGACCAGATTAACTAACAGCTAGCTGATGAACCAATAAAAATTAGATGGCTGTTAAAACAAGTCTAATCTCATGAAGCTATTAGTTCATACAAACACTGTTTCATCCCATCCTTGTCAGTTTGCATCAGATAGAAATATTATGGAATTCCCACTTTAGGTGCTACCGACAGCTAGCTTCTACATCTTCTTTCTATGTTTAGCAAGAATTTTGGGCAGCAGAAAAGTTTTCTGACTTATTTTTAAAGAGTTTTAAATTTTAGAAGTTAACTGTTTTTTAAGAGAAAAGTGTGTACTTTGTGAAGGTCCTGCTGTGACTTGCCGTTAGCTCTTCAATCTAGTCTGAAGTCATTTCTGTTTTTCCAAGTTGAGGTCATTCCGAGAGCTTTTTATAGTCAAATTTTAAAGGTGTTCCACGGAAATCCACTTCAGAACATTTCAACGATTTCTTCAAGGACAAAAGGACAGAGAATCAGCACCAACACTGAAGGTTCCCTGGATGCTAGATGCAGCTGTCTGAGCTAATTAGTGCACTTCTGTGTTCTTTTGCTCTTTGCTCCAGCTGTCAAGTCCTCCCTTACATTCAGTGTTGGGAGAAAAATCGTTAAGTATCGGCTTTAGTTATAGAACATAAAAATAACGTCACAGTTATGTTGCTATGTAACTAATTACTTATAATGTGGTAACTGAGTTATTAACTCAATTACTTTATGTAAGATGACCAATACAGCTTACATTCATCTGTTTCTATTAACAATAAAACAAATAAATGTCATTCAGGGGATTGCATTAGTAATTTTCCAGCTGAAAAGAGGAGAAATATGAAGATGTAATCAGACAGTGTAAATACTGGAGGCTTCAGAGAGCTGCTGCCTCTGGTTCTGCATTTAGGGCCAAAACACTGTTGAATATAGAGTTTTATTACATTTATCCCATAATGCACTTCTAAAAAGGACGTATTAGGATCAGCTTCACAACTGCCCCAACAGAAAGCCTATAAATGTCCGATATAATCAGCATCATTTATTTTTTACCATTTTGAACCTAAGCCTTGGTCCAAAATCATCATCATCATCATCATCATCATCATCCTCATCATTTATTTCTATAGCACCTTCCACTAGCTTTGTAGAAGCCCAAGGTGCTGTGCACTGTCACCACAGAGAATGCACGATCATTTGTATCTAGAGCGTGGCCCTAGATAGTATGCTTATTAATGTAAACAGAGCACCAAAACACCTCAAAACATTTGGATTAATTTATTTTGAGGAAAAATGTATCATTTTATTTATTTATTGATTGATTGATTGATTGATTGATTGATTGATTGATTGATTGATTGATTGATTGATTGATTGACTGATTTATTAGGAACAGATACTGTAAACATGTCCATATCACAGTGTTTTACAGCCAGAAGCTAATTTTCAACACTTTGTACACAGACGGGCTTTTAACACATACAATAATTACATTAATTGTATAATAAAACAAAATAAACAAAAGTTCATATTAAAAATATTGACACGGTGCAGGGAATGGTTACTTTCATTATTATATTGAGCTTAAAATGCAGTTGTCTTCACGTAAATCTCTAAACCCTCTAACCACTTCTTAAGATTTAATCTGATTAATTAATATAATTGATGAACAAAGGGCCTCTCAGATTTTTAAATAACTTTCTTTGTGTGACAAACAACCAGGAGATCAGGCCTGTGGCTGCATGCAACAACACACTAACATGTTGTTTGTTTATTTAAAATAAAAGACAAAAAAATAGCATTTTTTTTCCATTTATGCAAATGTTCTTCCACAAACACTCTTGTTTGCTTTTATTAATTTTCACTGCTCATCTCATCCTATAAATATGTTCACTTTATAAACTCTTATATTTATAATTGTTGGTGTCA